TCCCACACCAGATGTTAATGATAAATAAGTGCAAATGAACATTTGATACATTATGAGCCAGTGCAAAAGGTAAAGTAAGACAAAAGACATAACCCAAGAGAGGTTATACAGAAAATAATTATGAGCATGGACTGACGAGTAGTTAGCATTGATTCAGAAAAAGCTTGGTTATGGCTAGACAAAAGGTCTTAGATAAATCAGTAGATCATGCAAGATAAACTCTAGTAGGTTCTGTCCCGACCATGGTACAGTTCAATTATCTCTAGAGGCTTGTAGACGAGTCCTGCATAGTTTGTATATCAGTAGATGTTCATTGCGGCCTTGTCAGCCTCCACAGTTATATATATATATATATAGATATATTTGTGTGTGTGTGCGCGCTTTTGGGTATGTTTAGCCCTTAGATAAGAGAGACGATATTTTCATATAATTCAGAATACGGATTCATCGGCCTAAGTTGAGGGTTACCCCTCTAAAGTTTATAGATACAAAATGGTACGCTGGGGCCGAGTATGGAATCGGGTGCCGGCCACGCCTCTTCAGGATTGGGGCGTGATAGTAGCTCAAGCTTGTACGCTACCTGACCAATCCTTTGAATGATTCTGTACGGCTCGACATACCTCAGACTCAATTTCCCATTCTTTCCCAACCGCTTAATACCCTTCATGGGGGAAACGTTCAAGAATACCCAATCATTTTCCTTGAACTCTAAATCTCTCTAGGGAACAACCGAATATGACTTTTGACAGCTCTAGGCAGTCTTCAACCGCTCCTTAATGATCTTAACTTTCTCCATGGCCTGCTGCACGAGGTCTAGCCCTATCAACTCAGCTTCCCCAATCTTGAACCACCCAATGGGAGATCTATATCTCCTATAATACAATGCCTCAAATGGTGCCATCCGAATACTGGCATGGAAGCTATTGTTATAAGAAAACTCTATCAGTGGCAAATGATTATCCCAGCTACCTTTGAAATCAAGAGCATAAGCACACAACATTTCCTCAAGCATCGGAATAGTCCGCTCTGCTTCATGTCGGTCTGTGGATGGAAGGCGGTGCTAAGATTTACCTGCGTACCCAAACCTTGCTAAACTTTCTTCCAAAAATTAGCTGTGAACTGAGCCTCTCAATCGAAAATGATGGAAACTGGAGTGCCATGAAGCCTGACTATTTCCTTGATATAAGACTGAGCATACTGTTCTGCTATGTCGGTAGATTTAACTGGCAAGAAGTGTGCTAATTTCGTGAGTCGGTCCACAATAACCCAAATTGAGTCAAACGTGCGCAAAGTGCGTGGTAACCCTACCACAAAATCAATATTACTCATCTCCCATTTCCACATTGGAATTTCTATGCTTTGTGCTAACCTATGAGGACGTTGATGTTCAGCCTTCACTTGCTGACAATTCGGACACCTTGCCACAAAGTCCGCCACATTCCTTTTCATGTCATTCCACCAATAGACTTTCTTGAGATCATGATACATTTTTGAAGAACTTGGGTGCACGGAATACCTGGAAGTGTGAGCTTTCTCCATGATTCTTCCCCGAAGACCATCAATATCTGGAATACATAGCGCCCTTGGTACCATAGTGTACCATCATCCATACCAAGAGAAAAAGATGTGTATGATATGTGTGTTTTAACGAAATAGGGTTGGGTTTAAATATTAGAAAATAGGAGCCCTGACACAGATCTTCGGTCGCATATGCAACCACATAATGGCTATACGGCCCGCGAAAGGTGGCCCTCAAGGACCTCAATTTTCTTCCTCGGTCTGCGATCAATATGCGGTCTGCAGACCTATTCTGCGGTCGCATTATGCGCCATAGAACCTCCCTTTGCAAAAGTCCAAGGACAATTATGCGACCAAAGTGCGGCCCGTGAAATAGATATGCGATCGCATAATTGGCCGTGAAACGGAACTCAAAATTGTCCAAAAGACTGCCTCACTCTGTGGCCATTCTGCAGCCCACAGAGTGATTGTGCGGCCGCATAATGGGCCGCAAAAATGCACACTTCTGCAAAACATTTTCTTTTAACTCTGTAGTGTACTGTTGAATTCAAAAATTCCGAACCGCGGAGAGCTTGCGAGCCGCAAAGAGTTTCAACAATCTCTAACACATAATCCTAATTTGACACCACGAAATTCTGGTTTTTAAAAAAAATTTATGGGGCCTTACAGATGGTTCCTATCGCAATACTAGGCAAGCCGACACTCACAATAAACCATGCATTTTTAAATTTTAAGCCATAATAAATTAAGCTTAAGATAAAAATCTTTTAAATTAGTTGATATGGAAAATACTGTGACTCATTACACAACTCCCCAAAATCCGGGTATCATTGAGTATATGAGCATCTATACAATAACATATTCTAAAATACTATCTAGGAGGGTAGAACAGTACTAATAGAACTAAGTGATAAAGGAGGAGAGTCAAGGACGGCGGACGCCAAAGCAGCAACCTCGAGGATCTCCAAACTGAATAAAAGCTCCAAAGTCAGCAACCGCCATACCTAGAAGTACCTGTATCTGCATAGGAAGTGCAGAGTGCAGTTTGAGTACAACCAGCCAATGCACCCAATAAGTAACAAAACTAACCTTTGAGCTGAAAGCAGTGACGAGCTTAAAAGGTACAATCCTAAAACAGAAATAATAGTACATAAATGTAGACTTGCTTTCAAGTTCAACAGTTTAAGCTTAAAACAGATAAAATATGCCAGGTCTAAATGAAATCAGGAATGGTACATCTCTATATCTACATGTCAGTTATATATGACAACTATAATGCAACGCAGTAATAAAAATCATATGCATACTCTCAGAGCATCTGTGGACTCAGTTCACCCAGTCACCCAATCCTCACAGTCACAATCCTCATAGTCACTCAACCCTTACAGTCACTCAGTACTCATAGTCACTCAATCCTCCCAATCACTCGGAACTCGTACTCGCACTTAGATTAAGATCGGGGTATCACCAATTGAATATGAGGGAGAAGGATATTCCAAAAACAGCTTTCCGGATCCGGTATGGGCAATTTGAATTTCTAGTGATGTCTTTTGGGCTAGCGAATGCTTCGGCATCTTATATGGATATTATGAATCAAGTCATCAACCTTTTCCTCTACTCTTTTGTGATAGTGTTCATTGACGACATCATTGTATATTCATGAAGTCGAGAGGACTATATCGTTCATCTCAAGGCGATTTTACAGACTTTGTATCAACACAAGTAGTATGCAAAGTTTTCAAAATATGAGTTTTGGCTCAACTCTGTCACTTTCTTGAATCGTATTGTCTCTAGTGATGGAATAAGGGTTGATACTTAGAAGATTGAAGCAATGAAGAATTGGCCCAGACCTACAACTCCAGCAGAGATCCGTAGTTTCTTGGGCTTAGCTGGGTATTACATGAGTTTTTTGGAGGGGTTTTCTTTTCTTGCCTCTTCTTTGACCAGGTTAACACAAAAGGCAGCTAAATTCCAATGGTCGGATGCTTGTAAAAAGAGCTTTCACGAGTTAAAGTCATGGTTGATCATGACATCAGTGTTGACCATATCAGAATATGTTGACGACCAATTTTGACCCTCCCCTTCATATAATTAAATTTTACCAGCAATAATATAATAAGAGTATTTTAAAATTATTAGTATCTATTTTTCTCAAATATCAATAATATAATAGATAATAATAAATATAACAGTAATTAATATTTAAGTATATAATTCTATTACTTTAGTCTTAAATAATTATAATTATTTAATTAAGCAAACAATTAGCTTTCACAATTTAATCGACGATTATTTTAATTAGTTTGATAATTTAAAACTAGCTTATAGTAATTAATTAATAATACATTCGTTAATTACATTTTATTATATTTTAAATTTAACATTTAATTATAAAAAGTGGGGTTAAAACATTAAAGTAGGCTAGATTGCAATTGGTAGATTTTTATTTAAAGTGGCCATGATTCAAATTAAAATTTCAGCCCAATACCCAATCATTTAGCCCAAAATATTATCCCAAATGCACCTGACCCGCCCCAAGCCTACAATACCCATCCCCTTTGGCAAACGTCACCACTTAATTTACACCAATCACACCACCCATCAAGACCGTTGATCAAATTCATCAACGGTCCAAATTAATCACAAATGCCTTTTTAATTTTAAATCCAGCAGCTCATTTTCAATGACCCTCGTTTTATCTCTATAATATTATTCTCTTTTTTATTTTCTAGACCAAAATTCCTGAGCCGTTGATCCAATGATCCAACGGCCTAAATTCGTCCCCTCATTTTAAACTCACCACCCCTCAAACCCTAGAGGACATTTCATCACATTAGCCGCCCCCATTTCCTCTTCTCTCTTTTCTCTCATTATCTCAACCACCTGCCATCTCTAAACCATGCACAAATCAGTGCAAGGTCACTGAAGACAATCCAAACTTCATAATTCCCCACCCCTTTTAGCCACGAATCTAGCCGAGAACAATCACATTCCCATCATCCCCATTCCAACACTACGATATTTTAGGCCTTTAACCACAACTTAAAAGTGTGGCATAAACTATCAAAAAGTGTGACCTTTGATCAAAGGCCACACTTTCGGACCTAAGGCAATGCATTTTAAGGGGTGACCTAAATGAACATAACCTTTTCCCTAAGGCAACACTTTTTAAGTGTTTCTTTAGAAGCCACGCTTGAAAAGCGTGGCCTAATGAGTAATAAAAGCCACGCTTGTAGTACCCTCTGTGGCTACACTTTCCGTCTACTACAACAACACATGAAAAGTGTGGCCTACATTTGAAATGTGGAAATTTGACTAAGCTACGAAGTAATTTGTTTTATATATTTGTATAAGCCATGCGTTTGCGTTCAACAAAATACATCTTTGTATATATATCCCATAATCACGTCTGAAGATCTCAAGCACTAAATTATGTAAAAAATAACAAAAAAATAATTCAAATGCATATACTTGCAATGAACTTCAAAAAAGATCAAATCTCATGTAATACATACGAATAAAGTAAATTATTTCAAGGTTCATGCTTGTAACTTTGCAAAATCAAGTATATTATTGTAGCATCAGGAATAAAAAAAAAATCGTAATTGTCCAATTTTTCATCACTAAATTCCAATATATCAAATTGTCTTTTGGCACCATTTTTAATTGCTCATCAGAATTTTCCTGCAAAATAAAATTTGTAATTAGATAGAAATCAACAGTATGCAAGTGTAAACTCAGAGCAATGTGGTAGAGTCTGCCCCTTGGGGACTATGAATAATACTATCATATAAGTATGAGTTATACATATACACAACTAAAATAAATGACAAAAGTAGAGGAAACTCTGTATATGTTAGAGTTTTGAGATGAAAATATAATTGTGTTAGAATGATTTGAGTAACAGAACCTATGAACAAAAATCATGCTATATTTGCCTTCTTTATTTGTTTTCTTAGCATCCAGACATCTTGTTATATTCTCTCTAGGGTTGAATAGGCTACTTCATTGGAAAACCAACTTATTAGAAATTCTTTTTCTACCAAATATTTATATATCCTTTCTATTGCCAGAATATATTGAAATTCTTCAATTACTAGACTAGTATGACTTTGTTTCTTCCTTACATTAAATTGTTGTATACTGATGGACAAATTAGGTTAGTGAACTTCTTTTTTAACGGAAATTTAACTTTAGCACATAGCATATAATCAATCAGATCACTTTCAATTATGCTAGGAATAACCAAATACAAACACCTTACCCAAGCGAAGAATGTTGCTAGATAGAATTTGGAATTTCCAGTCTGCTATCTGATTAATAGTTTCTAAGCTCGAAATGTAATCTACTAGTGAATACCTCTTTAGGTGACTACAGTCACTTAGCTACCATTGAATCTAGCAAGAAATTAAAAGCGCAAACTTCTATTCCACTAACCCTCCGATTTGTACAGAGACAATACTTAAAAACATCCATCAGATAATTTTCTAACTCAATTTTAACCTAAAAAAACATTAGTCACTACAATTTAACTACCTATCATAGCAAAGATAATCATGTAAGATCTCTATTCACATAAAAGTTGAGCTAAATAAAGGACAGTGAGGGCATTTAAAATATTTTGTGTAATTGAAAGTGAGTGAAAAAGATATACTTATTGGGAAGTGAATAACTTTATTCACTTGACATCCTCTTTCACTTCATAATTTTTGGGGTTACCAGGAAAAAACTCATTTCAAAATATCTGAAAAATTAGGAAGAAAAGAAACTCATTGATAGCTCATCAAGGCTTTATTCTATTATGCATCATAACTGAAACTTGGATCAGTTTGACAGATCAAAAAAACTAGCAGATACTAATACTTCCAGGAATAAGAAAAGTGCTATCAGTAAAAGACTTAACAAAGAAACTAAGCATGCCATAGCAAGAAAATAGAAACAGATTAATGTTATTACCTTGCAAAGTTCAAGAAAGCACCTCAATATTGCCTTTTCATTTTATGTTAAAACCTTGGATATGAAAAATTAAGAGAGATAAGAAGGCACAAGGAAGTCTAACCTTATTCATATCACATCGAAACAAGCTTGTTGTCATTACAGAGATGCAATAGATAGTTAAATTATCTATGTGTTCATGAAAGGAAGTTGCTAATAAAATTTAAAGACAGTAAGGACTTCCATGTAATAGAAAGTGTGATTCTATACCAAGCAAAATAAAAAAGGAGATAGCTCCAATCTAAACCAAACTAATATGTGCTCACACACATTGTCTTTGGAAAAAAAAGAAGATAAATCTTCTCATCGCAAGATTACTGAGTAGCAATAAAAATTGCTTTCTTCACATTAAGCATGTCGCTCAAGAACAAACACCAAATGAGGAAAGAACGTCAGAAAATATTAGGATATAAGAGAGACATCAATTGTAATTAGTGCACCCCCATTAACTTTAGCTGAATGATCTTGTCATATTATCTAAAACAAAGCTTCTAATGTCACTTTTACACTGTTATTATGCATTTCTTCAAAGTAAATATGATCGACTAATAGATAAATATCTTGTTCATTCATTCTATTTGTACAAGTTTACAAATGCAAGACGTGAATAAAATAAATGCAGCTCTGAGACTTTGTGAATGCAAGTAATATAGGAATTTGAAACTAGACAACACTACTTATATAGGTAGAGTTTTTGTTTTACCAGAACTTAAAAACACCCACAAAACAGAAAGAAGTTGAAGTATCTTGTGCCTCTTGGGGTCGCTGAGCAACTACTACCTTCTTCTTCACCTTCGCAATCCTATGAATCAAATTTAAGACTTAGTGCAGACAAAATGTTAAATGACACACCAACATAAACAAATCCTGAAGTGTTTGGTAGAAGATTAACAACATTATACTAAGAAGCAAACCCACAACTATAGCAACCAAAATTACCATAGATATGAGTAGCTATGACTAACCGATACATCAAAAATTAAGAAATACAATGTACTATGAGATAAGAACCAACACCATACTAGAAACAAATCGTGATGAATGAGGAAGTCACGGCGGCTAGCACTGAACAAGTTGACCAATATTACATTCTAGTCACAAACAGCAAACCAATGAACAAAATTAGTGATTAGAAAATGTCGGGATGGTAAAATTTTGATGCTATTAATAAATACAACGAGTGATGAGGAAACAAATCTACAAGTTACAACTCGATTTCACCGAATGAGTTCGCCTGAGCAGAGCAAGTTCTCTAGTGGAGGAAATTATTTAAAATTAGGACAAGTGGATCCCTAAATAGGATCTATATTTGGAGTTGATACAGTCCATTAGAGGAATTTGGGTCGCGGTGGAGGTGAAGGAGCGGTGAAGGAGCGGAGGAAATTTCGGAAAAGGTGAAATATTTTAGTTTTGGAATTGGGCAAAATATTCAGCGGGTATTCCTTTTGTCTTGTCAAAATTGGGGGGAAGGAAAAATTTTAATAGTAATTTTTAGAGTACACTTTATAAGTGTTGCTTTTAGGATGCAAAAATAACACCCTCAATAAACGTTGTATTATAGGCCAAAAAATGTTACAAAATATTTCATGTTTTGGAAACACTTAAAAATCATCGCCTTTCTATTGAAAGAGAACGCTTTAGAAGCGTCGCCTAAATTCCGTAGCCAAAGGCTCTCAGCAAAGACCACCCCTCAAAAAGCGTTGCCACAAATACTTTTGTCAATATTTTTGAAGCGTTATCTAAAATTAGTGTGGCCTTAGGCCAAATTTGTTGTAGTGCAATATTAGAATCCAAAACCCTAGCTTCAAACATTTAAATTATAGAACATCATCATCACGCCTTATTCCTTTCGAATCTGTCATTATAACTTGCGTGCATCCTCCAGATTCAGAGGAATTTAACCTCATCGTAACATATGACGACCTATATATCAAACGCAGTGACCTTTGGTTATTAGCTTTGTTCGGTAGTCCGATGGTCTTAACGCCAAGGCCGGTCATCATTTCGAATAGGTAAATCCCTATCCTGATCTCCCCTTTGATTTTTCAGTTTTTTCCTTTTTGACTTGTCCATGTTCATCATCATCATCTTCCACTGATTTTCAAATTTTTAATGAAACCCTAAATCCCAATCATAATTATAATTAGCCAGCTTTAATTCCCTCACCAACACACACGGCTACAATAAGAACTCTAGTAATTGTTCTACAACCAGTTTCCCTTAAGTACTCAGTGAATTTCTCTAAACATCCTTTCTTTATTTCTTCTCTGCTCGAGTTTAATTACTATGAATTGGTTATGAACTTTGGATCCTAAACGGTTAAGAACGACTACTTGGATTGATGCCCTGAAGAAGGTCTCTAGATCACTGATCTTACTTTAATCAATCATATTTGCTCTATAGTTTTCTTATGTTGTTTTCATTTGATTATCTAGTATTTTATTTCAATCTTCTACCTACTATCCTTCATGATATTCATTAGTGAAGCATGTGACTTTCTATTATGTTCTGCCACATGTATTATCTTTCACTTATCCAATTTATACTTTTCGTTAACATTTATGTTTTCTCCTATGCTGTTTGGTTAAACCAATATCTTTTGATCATCGAATCTTGTTTCTCATGTTTTTATTATGTGTAGCCATTATTTCTTTTGTTGTTATTCATTCAAATTCCTACCTTATCTTGTTTACCTAATTAGATTCTCATCAGTAGTGTGTGCACCTATCATATTATCATATTTGATTGTTTGAAGTCTAGTTGGTAGTAATTATGTTTATCATGTTAACATAAAATAGAACTTGTACTGAAACTTGAATGCCTTGAACTCTATTTTGATTAATGAAATCATGCTTATAGTTTATACTAACTGTTTATGCTTGAAGAGACCATGCTTAGAATACCTAAAGGCACAATTGATTGAGTATTGTTGGCCGATGCTATTTGATTGATCAGTTAAAATTCTATCTTTCACCATGTACCATCCTGTTGTTGATACCATGTCAGTAGGTTGCATTTTGAGATTAAAATATGATCATGTGTTATGAACCTATTGGACAAGTTTACCCCTGTGGAGCACATGAGATGGTGAGATTAATAAATAGCACAAAGTGGGGCAGCGAAAGGCATAAGAATTATGTTGAAGCTTTGGCTTAAGACTCTGCTTCTCATCTCCTTTCTCTGAGTTCTGCTTCCCATCCCCATTCTTATCTCTATTCTTAGTTACTTAGTTTCATTATAGTAGTTTGAGTGTTGCAAGTGATATCTCAAGGTTGTAATCAGTGTTCCGGTTCTTATTATGTGAGGAATTTCAGTAATGTTACATTGGTGCTTTCATTGATTCGGACTCCATGGAGCTCTACTCTTCTACCATTATCCACTATCACCTCAACGTCATCAAGGATTTACTAATGGTAATGATGGACAATAACACTTGTATGCTTAGATACCTCGAGAACATAGAGAACATGATGCATGCCTCCTCCAAGACTATTCCCGACACTCCACAGCACTCGGACTTAGCTGTGTCTTTGCATGACAAGTATGAACCAGAGGAATTCTCAGAACCTCTTGTTATTGTAGAACCAGAGATTGATTCTGATTTGGATAAAGAATTCTCCAACACTATGCATAATTCCGAGGAGGACAATTCAAGAAACTGTGCCTGCAAGGTGTTCATTGAAATACCAGATAGGGAAATTAACATGGAAGTTGCAAATTCCATGAGGAGCAATTCAGTAAATCCTGAAACCCAGGTGTCCAATGAAATGTTTCAACCAGTTTCTGCAGTTAAGTATGCTTCCAGTCACTTTATCATATTTGATGATCCACTAGCACTGCAATGTTTGCTTACCGCTTCCAGTCACGACCAACCTATTAGCATGGATATATTTGATTATTTAAGTGAACGTTATCGTGCTAAATCCTTGTGTCGATTTCCAACTGATCAATTTGGATTGGACTTTCCCTTTGATCCCGGTTCAAGGTTTCTTACCACATGCCTTGGAGGTATAAAGAAATATATATGTCGTGATATGTTGGACAGTTTGACGTCTGATATGCTTATGTTGTCAACATTATGGAACAGACTAATGAGATTAAGAGGAACATTATTAACAGGATCACTTGTATTTTTTATTAAATTTGTTGCAACAGTATCTGCCTACATCATTCAAGCTATATTCCATGGAAGTGTTGGGTTGGGCATAGACAAGCTGGTTCAACAATGGGGTGTTAATGATGTGCATCAATACTCATCCAATGGTCTTCGCACTGTGATGCACACCGTCTCTGCTATTTGGTCCAGTGTTAAGGAGGGTGATGTTATTGCGGCAACTCTCAAGTTGTATCCTCCAAGAATTTATGATTCTATGTGGGTTGCTGCAGCTAGAATGAAAAAGAAGAAACATAATGGAAATCATTCATGGAACTACACAATGTTACATGAACAACAAACCTGAAATCCATATGCTGACATAGCTCTTGTCTGTGAGAAATTGGACTATGCCCTTCATTTTCTAAAGATGAGAGTCTTAACTCAAAATATTTTGAGTGATACATGGTGCCTCTCTGTTGTAATTTGTTCTGGTGTAATTAACTGTGGCAGTAGAAACACTTCTAACCTCTCAGGGATTGCCTTAGATATTCGTGGAGCTTTAAAGCTGCATTATTTTTCATTTGCTCTTGTTGGTAATCTGTAAATTGTTACTCTTGGTTGAACTGTACTGGTTATTTGCATAGGGATCCAGAAATCAATCCCAAGACCATGAATCTAAATAGTCATACAGAGACCTTGGAGACACAACTATTGTTGCGATCTACTGGCAAGTTTTGCTTATGTGCATATTCTACTTTTATGACTAGAGTGTAGTATCCTGGCTGGCAGAGAGATATCTCATCACACTCGACGGAGTTGGCAACAAGGGCTGATGTATTGCCTTGGAGAAAAAGACTCATTGTTCTGCTATTAGCATTGTCTGCTAAAAGTAATGGAATGTTATAAAGAAGGGATTATAGTGTCAGTACACTCTATTCAAGACGTGCATTCGCTACTTTTGGATTTAAACCAGAGAATATGAATATGGTTGAGAAGTGGCTTAGCAAGGCTAGTATGCTGCAAAGTATAAGGAGTATAGGTGCTAAGGACTTTAAGGTGACAAATTATTATGTATTAGCAAGATCTAAGGGCAACAATATTATTCAGCAGCTTCAAGAGAAGACTAACGTAGGAAGGTCTTCAGGCCAACAAGATGTGGCCATTGTTGGAGAGATGGAAAAGTCATAATCAATTGGTTGGAACACAAGTAATTCATCCCTGCATCAAGACGTGCAAGTACACAACCAACTTCATTATGCTAAGCTAGAAAAAAATGTGTCGAGGATTACTATGGATTTGCCTCGATTTCCATTTGACCAAATGGACTTCTGAATTTAGAATTCAATTCCAAGCAAAAGAGATCAGACACAAGGGTCGATGCTAAGATTTCAATGTTGCTCTACTTGAACCTTGAGGACAAGGTTCTTTTTGAGGACGGAGTATTGTTATGAACCTTTTGGACAAGTTTACCCCTGTGGAGCATGTGAGATGGGGAGATTAATAAATAGCACAAAGTGGGGCAGCGAAAGGCATAAGAATTATGTTGAAGCTTCGGCTCAAGACTCTGCTTCTCATCTCCTTTCTCTGAGTTCTGCTTCTCATCCCCATTCTTATCTCTATTCTTAGTTACTTAGTTTCATTATAGTAGTTTGAGTGTTGCAAGTGATATCTCAAGGTTGTAATCAGTGTTCCAATTCTTATTATATATTGAGGAATTTCGGTAATGTTACATCATCCTACCTAGTTTAATAGCTCTGATATCCTCTCTGATTAGCCTGACTTTGTGAAGTTAGCCACAAGTCTAAAGTGTTTAGCCTAGGTTGCTTGATATCCACTAAAATTTAATTATGAGTTGTCCGTTTGGTTGATGAATATGTTTGCCTACCCTAAGTCGTTTGATATTGTTTTGACCTTATGAAACAGTAGATCTCTGTATTTTGCTAACTCCCAAATGATGCCTTTAACTACCTAAAGTGACATTCTTAAAGTTGAAGTTATCTCTACCATAACAAGCATATTATATAAGTGTAACAATCAAGCCGATCGTTTTGAGAGTTGTAGCCTCTTTCCCCCATTTGATGATTATTCTATGCTCAATTGTTGATATGTGACTTACTGGGGTAGTTGGTTTTGTTCTGGGGATGTTTTAGAATGAATTGGAACACTTAGTCCCAAGGTGGGAAGCTTAAGTTGAAAGAGTTGTCCGGATGTTGACTTATGTGTACACAACTCCAAAATGGAATTTTGATTGCTTCATTAGCTCCATATTGTAATTTTGGTCTTAGGACTATGTCCGGATAGTGATTTGAAGGTCTGTAGGTGGTTTTGTCTTGAAATGACAAAACTTGGAAAACTGAAATTTGGAGAGTTGAGTGGTTTGAATGAGAGTTGAC